ATGATCGTACTAGGACCCTTATAATTGGCATGGTTATAAACTTTATTGGATTCCTAACTCGAGTTTATGACTCTGCTCCGAGCTACCTGAAGGTTGCCCATCCCTGGTCAAAAGCATTCAACTGGATCTAAGGAGACAAATAAAGGAGCTGAAGGACACTACCGTATCGCACAATTTTAGGCGTGGTCAGACAACTAACCTAAATGAATTGAAGAACAAATTAAAAGTTGTGCTGCCTATGGTAACCTTGGATATCTTTCTGGAGTACGAGAAGCGTTTAATTGATGACATCGACGAGAAAAACGCATTGGTAAAACCCTTTGATCACTATTAATAGTATTTTTCTTATTATTATTGTTATTTCTTTATAATGAAAGTTAAATAGCTTTTTTAATTTTTTTCAGTTTGATTATTTTGAATTTTTAATTCATTCACGAAATTCCAACAAGGAGTGTATAGTCTGTGTTCTGGGCAGTATGTTGGGACAGGAAATTCAGGATGCTTACTCAGCATTTGGCCGAGAAAGCAAGGAGGATTTCAGTTTGACTCTGACATATAGTCTTCTAAAAGGTAAACTTCAAAAATTCATGAAAAATAATTCAATTACTAAGCGGCCACAATTGGTAGAGTATTTTTAAGCATTTTAAACGTAGAACCTACCGGTACATCATTTTCTGCCAAACTTACAAAATTTATAAACTACTACGATGAGGATATCCTTGAGGATTCTTTACAATTTGGTACCGCCTATTCTTCAAAGTCAGACAATTAGTCGTTTTCACCAATCAAATATAAAATACAAATTTTTCCCCTTCAAAACATCACTCTTTATTTTAGAACTGACTTCTTAACTAGGGATTTTCAATTTTCTATAATCTATTCTTTTTTCCATACTTATCGAAATATAAAGAAATATATTCAACTTTTCGCCTTTTTTGTTTCTAAGAAAAAACAAGGTGTAGAATAAACCCTCATATCATTTTTGCTATTGCATAATATGTTTAATAACGTCATTTTCAGATGCTGTCGCTGGGCATTTTGGACAAAATTGGGATGAAAAAAATTTTCGTAGTACTATTTCGAAGTGGTTCACAGGTTCTTCGGATCGCTTTGGCCGTCGATCAAAAAGACAGAAAAGAAGGTCAAAATCATTATAAACTTCTGTCATGTCCACGAAACAAAGGATGAGCTGTCGTAATCTGATAATTATAAATGTTCTAATCTTCAAAATCTTTCGCAATCTTAAAATAATTTTAAAATTATATGTTCATCAGTATGAACTTATAATATTTGTTCAAGAGGATAACGGTTGATTATTTTTTTACTGGTTTTATGAAAAGGTGTGTTTGATTGTCTGAAAGGAATTAATATTGCCTTTCTGAGTTGTGAAATGAAAGCTGCCATGTTTAAAAAATGATGAACGATGAAAAAATTGATAAACATTTTCAAGAAAATCATCTGATGTTCGTGAATGACAGATTAAATCTATCATAAAATAGAAACCAATTATCGAGGCATGTTCAGTCTTTCATATGGAGATTATGTAAGAATTTTTTTTTCATGGAATTATTTGACTTGTTTCATTGCTTTATTTTTCATTCGATTTCAGAATGATTTGTATGGAAAAGCATTGAAGAGAAAGAGAATTTTAAGGAACGATAAAATATAGAATATTATTTCAAAGAAAAATACGAACTCAAAGAATGATAGTCGACGTTCGTTGAAAAATGAAAATGGTTCCAAAGATAAAATATTAGTTAGAGAGTATGATTCTCACTTTCGCAATTACTATTATTTTTTTAATTAACCCCTTTTTGTTTGAAAACAGTTTTTCGTTGTCTAGAGAGCGCCTGCGTCCAAATAAGGCATTAACTTATAATTTATATGGAAGAAGCTCTGAGATACAAATAAAAAATGCATGGAGTGGGAAAAACAATTATTGAAACACAATGATTAATACGTTGTAGTAGGCTTATTTCAAGCAGGTGATTATTATTATTTGTTCATTTAGGAGTATAATTCTCGATGTTTTTATCTTCTATTGTTAGTTTTTCCCACTGATTGAGGATATTTTCTTATTGTCTATAAGACGATTGTTCAATTAAATCATCTAAATATGGCAAATAATATTTAGTTATCGGCGTTTCTCGTTGTATTAAAAATACTTACTTATACAATAGTTCATGTATTGTAATGATAATTAGTTAGTTTGGACACCTAATAATGAGTGAGAAAAAACGAACCGTTCGTTAGAGCATAAAATATGTTGTGGTTTAAAATTTCAAACATGACTCATGTAATAAAAAAACTATATTTTGAGATTGACTCTTGAATTTTCATATTTATTTTAGTTAAAATTTAATGTGGTACACCATTTAGTCGGCTCATACCATTATAAAAAATATATTGGCCAACCGCGGCTCAATAACGCCCCGAGGTTTGACGATCCTTACTGGCCATTGTTTGGCAGTCAGCGCCTGGCCGACAGTTGGCACCCAGCATCGGCCCAACGTTATCATTCCGAGACTGAACCGGACCATGGCCAGCACCGGTCAAGAAACGGCACTCAACACTCGGCACACCGGTTGCCAGTCTCGAACCAATATTGGCCCGTTGTATTTTTCGGACCCGGGATAGCCGCAGTTATCGCTTAGTTCAAGGTACCCTTTTACCAACATAGAAGGCTTGTCGGGCACAGAGATATGCAAAGGAGAAATGAGGTAATCGGCGAAGGGTTAAGCCGAAGGCACAGACATAAAATATAACTACCCCCCATGCCGGCTACAACAGATGTACAACGTTGTCATACAGTCATTCGAGTTTGGACCAAAGAAAATCAAGTAAACATTTGAAAAAATATAGACAAAAATATTCCTTACAGATCTCCCAAATTTGAAGCAAATAAAAAAGTGATGCTGCAAACATACAACACCCTGATCAGATGGAAATTTGACTATGTATCCCTGATTTATGGGTCAACGAAAAAAAACACCTTCAAAAATCGGGGACAATGGACATACTGCAGCACTCCGAATACCATTTGGAGCATGCAAGACAAGCCCAACCGGCAGTATACTAACAGAAGCTGATGACTATCCGTTGAATATCAGACGGATCAAACTTTCGAGTAAACAAACAGCAACGAACTGAGCATCTTCACACAACGACCCAACAACATCTTGGAATACTTCAGCTAACCTTACAAAAACTGAGTCTATTCAACCAATACATATTCGAACTAACCAGTACTATGACGAGATCAATGGTCAGATAGCGAAGGTAGTACAACGCCATCATCACCCATTCCCACCATGGAAAATATTTTCCCCTACAATGAGTCTGAATCTAACAAACCATAGCTAACAAAAAACCACGTGTGTGCTATACAAAGCGTAGTATACCTAGAATCTTCACCGATGGCTCCAAGACAGAAAACGAGGCAGTAATTTAAGTAATTTTCACCTGCAAAGGGAGAGCCTTCATGGGAGTACTAGCTTTCGATAGAAGAAGACCGGCGCGAAAAATTAATTATCACAGATTCCAGATCGGTTCGAGAAGTAATCACAAATCGATTCACAGATGACAACCTCATGCAAACTAAATTCCCAACGGAATTCGATAATTTGGAAATAATGTACAAAATACTAATCCCAAACCTGGATGAGATCACACCAAAAGACTAGTCGACGTGGCAGCCAAAAGAGCCACAGAATTAGACAATGACTACAAGAGCATCCCCATCAACTTCAGAGAGTTAAAAAAATGGGCCTAAAACCTAGCGACCGAGCACTAGGATCGGAAGTGGAATGAGCATACTGACAAAACCAAACTCCACGAAGTCTGCCAACACGCCAGAGGAAAATCTCCATATCTTGAGAACCACCGAACGGAAATCGACTGAGAATAGGTCACCTCAAAGTGACACACCCTACGGGCTGTCCATCTAACGAAGTCATCAGGAGAAATTTGAAATTGTGAGATGAAATTAACAAATTAGTGAACGATGAAAAAACTGTGAAACCAATATTAGAACTACTCAAACAAATGATATTACCATCTCATGTAATATAACAACCAATAAACCACGTTGTTAAACATGTGTACTTAATTGCCTCCCATTCTGACTCTCAACTGCACTTCACATCTTCGCAGTAATATGGAACTGGTGTAAAAGTGCTGTTTTACCTGCACGTTTTTCTCCTGACTTTCCAGAGTGCGCCCAAATTAGCTCTCCAATTGAAGGAAGCAATTCAATTATTAGACTACCTAGGCTGGCTGGTCAACCCCAAGAAGTGCATACTAACTCCAAGCCAGAGAATCGAATTTCTAGGCTTCACCTGGGACTCGCGCCTGATCCAGATCAGCCTCCCGCAGAGGAAAATTCGACGGTTCGGCATCTTCATCAGTCAGATTTTGTACACCGGCAGGACCAAGTTAAAAGAAGTACAGAGACTCCTAGGCTCTCTGAATTTCGCCTGCTTTGCGTTTCACAGGAAAAGACTCCACTGACGCTACACCCAGAGATTCTCGACAAAGTTCAGACAGAACTGGCATCCACCTCGGCTTTCAACAATGAGGCAGTAACCTTCTTTGTAAAGATGGACACGCCGAAGAAGAGATGGGGAGCACAACTCAATTCGACTCTCATATCCGGACGCTGGTCGAGGCAATAGATAACCTGGCACTCAAACCAAAAAGAGTTTTTTGTTGTCTATGCATCGAGCAGATACGAGGCCCAGATACTTCTAGGCGTACAGATCCTTGTTTAGGCAAACAACCAAGTCCTGGTACCATATATGCAAAAGGAGGACGAGACAAGGCCACACTCAAACTTCACGTATAGTCTCACTCTTACGACCATAGAGACTGAAAAGTACGAGTAAAGTACGGCACAAATTGATATTAAGGATGCGGAAATTTTGTAAAAATATCTGAAAAAATTTTCGATTTTCTGGCAGTGAAATGCCAAAATTTTTTCATTGTTGTTAAAGAAATTTCAATTGAAAATCGAGACAAAGATAGCGAGAGATATCGTTGGTTTGATGATGTCAATCAGTTCAAATATCCAATAATTGATATATTCGGGGAAGGTAGAACAAATGCACTGGATGGGCAAAATACACTGACGGGCAACAAAAACAGTTTTGTATTTATAATAATAATGCTATGTGAAACCTGCCCGAAATGATTCGCGCACCAGAAAAAAGTGGTTATTTGCACCGAATGACTCAGACTGCACCAATCGGGATTATAAAGCTCATTTATATAGAACATTGAATTATTATATCGAACATCTATTTCTCTACAGACCAGGATTACCAGACGGCAGTTTTTTCCAATAATTTGTATTAATTTGTCCAGAATAGGGTAGATCATAAAAGTCTTTAAATGGGATATCAACTACGTTCTTCGAAAAAGGTCAATTCTTCGAGTGATCGATTTCACTCGATTGACTGTCACTGTATAAAATCAAAAAAACCTTTTGAAAAATAGCGCCGTCTGGCAACTCTGCTACAGACAGCAAGTATATTTGAAAAACAAAAAATACGGTTTCACAATGAGAAGAAAGTGTCTCAAAGTAAGCACTATAGTGCACAACAACATCCTCGTAGTTATAGAAATGATCAGTCTATCCATCGACCAATAGGAAGTCGAATCAAACATTGACGATGAAAACAATCATTTATTGTCATTCTTTTTTATGATAAAGGATTGACAAATTTCACAGACGATGTGAACTTCTACTTTTGAAATTATTCATGGAATATTTTCGTAATTGATAATATCGAATTGAATAATAAAATCTTGAATTTATAAGCTGCCTAGAATCAGAGAATCGCAATTTTCATAAATTAAAAACCAACGTTATTTTCTTTATCATTCCACACCATTCTCTTCTCATTAAAATCATACTTTATCTTCCCTGTTTCATACAATTCTCGTTCTATCCTCACACCTAATACGATCACAACTATAGTTGTACCCGAACGACCCAAGGAAACTTGGACACGTAATTGCTTAAGTACCACCTAAGAGCACAGAAGAGTAAATGAATCTGACACTCACAAATGGGATTAAAATTTTCCATCACTTATAAACCTTACATTATAATGAGTATTCTTCTGCTTTACCACTTCCACCGATTGGTCGATATTTGTAGAATATGAAATCAGTTTTTAAAAACCTCAAATTCTGTTAGTCCTTTCAATACCTCAATTCAATGTTTCTTTCTAGGTGAATTATTGAAGTCCAATGAAAGTAATGAATTACATGTCATTATGAATACAACAAATCAGCTCCGGACTTTAATGATAACACTTCTTGCATGAGTTGACATGAATGGCGCTGCTCCAAACTTCGAACTACTCACATAGTTTCCGAATAAATCACAACATTTCTCTTTTGCTCACGTATGAGCTCTTGATAATCCACTCAAGTCCTTAACTTTTCAAGATAATAACATGAGATGGGGCCATTGAAGAAGATTGTTTGCTGGATAGTTATGTAAGTGAATCCTGAGAGTAAAGGTAAGACCGGTCTGACGTTGATTGTGGGGATCTTTCTTCTTTCCTTCAGCATCTTCCTTCAAATGGAGAACCTAAAGTCTTCAGTGTCTTTTGCGTTTGTGAAATCCTCACGACAATTCATTGTATCAAACAGTCAATTAATCCTAACAATCCTACGAATGAAACTGAAACAGTCTAAAAATAAAAAAAAATCAAACTCCAAATCGCCTATCAATCTGGAAACGTTTTGTTGTTTCATACATTTTCATTGCGAATCCTTTATATTACAATTGAAAATTAAACGAGTACCAAAGAAAAAATAATCACGATATTATTGTGAGAAATTGAAAGAACAGAAGACTAATGGGTACAATTACAACTCTTCTCGAAGGTGCGACTTATATGGGAACTTATTGATTGTACATTATAATTTTCCGGAAAGATTTGTATGTATTCGTATACTCAGTGACTCAACTGGAGTTGGTAGAAACTATTCTAATTATTAGTTCCGAAGTATCGTCTACTTGATAGACTACGAATCATGCGAACGTTCTGCTCCCATAACTTCATACGCGTAGAATCTTCTTGAGTTAATGAAAAGAAGTTCAAAAACCCATGGCAGCCAGATGTCGAAAAACGATACATCCTCTTTGTGACCATGTCTTCTAAAGATTCACACAGTCAAGTGAGCGTGGAAATTGGGGTGTGGATCACCCGGATTTATCACCGGTTAAGTGTACTTTGAAGATAGCCCTCGGGGACAAGAGAAACTCCGCAACA